CGATACAGGTACTGCAAAGGATCTTCCTCCGATCGTTTCTTTGCATGGTAATATTGTCGGCTTGTGGACATCCCGTGTCCCGCATATTCCACAAGAAAACTGTTCATCAATTCTTTCCAATTGAATCTCGTCGATCTACTCAGCTGTCGGTACCAGTAGCGGGCTGGGCCCACCATGAGATCACCGAAGACCAGACATCTCTCTTCGTCCGTTGCTTGGTCTCCGGATAAACGCTGACTTCAGTTTGCCGATCCAGGTTCGTGCTTTGTCTTCTTCCCGATCCTTCCCTGAGAATTCTTTCAGCTCATAAATCGCTGAGATTCTGATCCTCTGCCTCGTGATGCTTCCCCTCCCGGTAGTCGCACCGGTCGCGGCTACGTGAGGGCGCTGTGGTTCGGACATTCATAAATCATCCGGGTCGTATTCCGCCCCATGATGGATCTGTTGGTAAGTGTCCGACTCCACCGATTCCATCTCCACATCCGGCATGTCATGGCTTTCGTGTGAGGGTTGGAGCAAAGCACGTCGATCTGGGTAGCGGTTTGGCTGTCGATTCATTCGCTGAGCTGTACGTTGATCCGCCTCGTACTCCTTCATGGCTAAATTGAAGTACCGACTTAGATCGCCCTCTTCCTGATCATCCAGCCCAGTACGGGTACCGGCCGATCTCCGTGGCATGTCGCTCCTGGCTTGTCCTTTAAAGGCGTCGGTATTGGCTTATCCGATCTTGTCCTTTAAGAACCTTCCACCCGATGGTCCTAGAGACATCCGACAAATGCTGATGGATCCATCTGACTCGCTCTCGGAGTCGTCCGAGGCGTAGCGGGGCGATCCCGCGGGGTGTTTACAGAGCGAGCCCGAGGGTGTCCCGATCTTGTCTTCAGGAGTATTCGCTTTGCTCACCAGCACTATCATGATCTCCACAAACTCATTCGCCGCGTTCTTCAACCGTTCCAAGCTGCAACTCAGCAGTTCATCTCCATCAAAAGCGTCAGGGCAGACACCCATGTCGTCCAACATCTGCAAAATCACATTGATCTCGTCGACTTTGTTGGTCCCGTGAAGTGGGACCGATATCGGCTTATCCAGAGGATCAATCAACTTGGGCCTTAATATCTTGAACACTGGGTCCGTCTTGAGCAGCGTCTTCAACTGGCCATAATAGTACTGCCATTTTCGCACGCTCCCGCGCTTCACCCGTCGTCTCCTTCTCCCTGGACGCGATCTTCGTTGGGTTATATTCCGTCTTTGGCATCGCGATCTTATCTGGTGTTTCATCGTATTCCTCTTTGACTCCGATCTTCGGTTGCACGGTTCGGCCGATCTGGCGATCTTTGACGTCTGATCCCATCGATCTCGTCGCGGATCGTTCCGATGTGGTCGATCTCGCGATTGAGCTCTTCGGCTTGAGGTCGGGCGATCTATCGACTAAGATATAGGGTTTGGCTTTCGCCGATTTGGTTTTCATCATTGAATTTTCATCCAGCAGATCGCTCTGGAAAGAGCGATCTGCGGTGGCCCCGAAAGGACCCTAGGAGGGGGTTGAGGTTTATCTTCCAGATTCGATCTCTCGATCTTCCTCTTTCATTTTCATTTCATCAGAGCCCCTCCCAAAACTCTGATGATCTGAGGATCTTGTGCTTCTGCGTGTCTGCGTCGATCCCTCTGTCGCTGACACTTCAATCCCAGGTTCTTGCTTCATCTTGACATCTTCGCCAGTGGACTCACGGTGAAATCCAGAGGCCTCAGAAGATCCGGGCACGCGCACCATAGTGGTGAAGTCGATCTCACAAAAATGGCTTGTATGAGTGTCGAGCTTCCACTTGCCCAGACTTGCCGACTCACGGAGGGGGTACTCCGATCCGTGCCTTGTTGTATGACCTTGTGCTCACCTTGTGTACCCGTCGGTTGGGCTGGCTTGAGCTCTTCGTAACGGCCTTGGAGGATGTCGATCACGCTGAGAGGTTGGGTTGAGGGTTCGCTTCCGGTGCGGAAATCTTCACACCACGAACATGGGTTCTGCGATCTTGATTCTCGAGTCGCGGCGATCTCTAGTTAAAGATGTCGCGGTCTTGATCTTGAATCGCACCGATCTCGATTTGTCTTCGGGATTGGGGTCTTTGCTATGCGGAAATCTTCACTCAGCACATAGTAGTCTTGCGTCGATCTTGCCTTGGGATCAGTCCGATCTGGTCTTGGGATCGTCCGATCTTGCTGGAAGTGCGCAATTTAGGCAGATCGGTCCCTGGTTTCGCCAAAATGAAACACGCCAATCTGTCGAGTGGATCGCTTCGATCTTGCTCGGTCTTGTCTTGAACGTCTTGTCCAGATCTTCTGACCACTTGAGCCGTCTCGCGATCTTGTGTCCGAAATCCTTTTCCTTTGTTGCTGCTACCCTAGCAGTTGAGTTTAGAGTGAGTACTTGATCGATCCGGGCCAAACTTCCCGCGGTCGCTCTTCCCGATCTTGGCCAACAATCCAAGATCGGTCTTCTGTGTCCCTGTAACACGCGTGCATTGACCCGCCGGGGAAGCCAAATCACTCTTGCCCGGAGAAGAGGGGGAGGAGAACGTGCGTCGTGAGCAGAAGAAGTAGAGTTCAAGTCTGTTTATTAACCAACCAAATTACTAGCCAACCTATCTTTAAGCCTATTCCCAAATATAGATCACTCTCCAAGTCGATATCACCTTTAAGCTTGACCGCCCCCTTGAACACGTGTCGAAGTTTCATGACCTACACTCCAAAGATAGCGCCAATATCCCCGATATCGTACCTAAACACCAAAAGAGGACCAAATCCCAGATGTACCAAATACCCATTTTTGGTACCCAAAAGCCCAAAATAGTGCCCAAATGCTGAATTGCGTCAAAATCCACTTTGCGACGTCAATTTGACCGGCTTCCACTGGCTCTTTTGATCTGAACTTTTGAGACATCACTCATGGACCTTCAACAAGCATGTTTGTCATGATCCAAAAGTCTCATCAACGATGTATCCATAATCAGTGGGGAACATGACCGATCTGATGCCCAATTCGAGATCGTTGAGGATCGACACAGTACAATCCGGCCATACATGTTCTTCCGTTCATTGTGTACTTTAATACCATCCCCAAGGGTTTATCTGCTCAATTAGACCATCCCCAGTTCTTACAACGGTCCCACGGACTCCCACAAACATCCCCACTTCCAGATCGGGCCATAAATAACCTAAATCAGTACTCCCTTCGGGAGACCCGTAGAGAGTGTCACCGATCTGCAGGATGTTACACCTTTGTCACAGAGTCATATCACATCACCTGGTCCCAGATCTTTGTCCCAGATCGCTCCATGAAAATCGTTCTATTTGTCGTCTTGTCCCTGATCGCTCCGTCTCAGATCGTTCCATACCCATCAGTCTGACGACATATGGATCGAATCGCCGATCCCCATTGAGACCGCATTCCATCTCCTTATCGGATCGCCAGGTCCCATGGCCTCATTTTCCACCAGTAAGTGGCGTCTCAAATATGTGTCCACCGATCCTCGTACAAAATTTTGATTAGTGACTTCGCCACACCCTTTTTGTGAGGAAATGCATTTTTTCGAGGTGCGAGAAGAAACGATAGTTTGCAACACCTTTACGCGCCCTAAGCGCACTTTTTATGCTCCTTGGTTCGATCAGGTGAGCCTCGTCGAACTTTTCGACGATCCCGGGGGCAATCAGCATAATTTGGCAGCCAGGCTTGCCCTCGGTCAATTTGAGCCCATCGCGTGCGGGCATATATGCATGTTGGCTTTTACTCTTTCTGCGGTTGCAATTAGTGTCCTACATTGAAAATTGACACCTATAATGCACATTTAATAATGAGGAGAGGATGGGCTACAACGCACTGAGGACGACGTGTACAGTACGACCGGCTTTTTTTGCTCACATACACACAGACAAAAAATAGTTCTTACAACTTGTTATTCAACTTGCGCATAGTCACAAATAGCCTTCCGTCGGGCTTGCATTAATATTTTTATGTCCATACAAGAAGTGTTGAGTATAAATTAGGACTTACTGTTTCCACTTCCTGAATTTTTCTATTTTACCTCCTATGGGCAAGAATTTGGTATCGTCATTGTCCACACCTCAAAAGAATTGTTCACTTTTCTGCTAATGATCATGGTAGTCACTCAATCTACCAGTATGTTCCGTCACCATATTTTTATTAACAAATTAGACTTTTTCTACCCAAAAATACACGAAATATGGAACCTCACAGTCGTCAAATCTCCTACATAGACACCCCAGCAACAACGTTTGCTTTTACATTGTTACAATGAATTTTCATTTCGTACAGTTTTTTCCTTTCATTTAAGCTGCAGCTCAAAAAAAATCTGGAATGATGGAGCTATTTTTGGTTTTTACATGTTCCATATCTTCTTTACGTGACTTGGCTAGCGTTGCGTGATCCAGAGGCACAGGATCGCCGTTGTGTCCAGTGCGACAAAACACCTGGCTACATCGTGGTGATGACACTGAATGCACAACTGGTGTTCCATCGGACACACCTCGTTGCCACCCCAATCGGTTATTCTTATTCTCATGAGGTGCAATATGCTCGGTCACTCTGGTGGCCCAGAGTTACAGCTTACCTTCAAGATTCTTATCGTTTATCTGCTGCTTCTCTGTTGACTTGCGTCCAAGTTTTTCACTTTTTCAACAATCTCATTCCCCATGTAATCCTGACTGGCCGCAGTCGTCAGCAGGTATGGCATATACTCTCATTTGCATACACCCTTCGACTTCATCACTGTGCGTTCTGATTTTTAAATAAACGCACAAATTTTTTAATATGAAACAATTTAAACGACGAGAAAACATTTAAATCGATTTTGTTGAGTACACATCTGTTTAGGGTAGCAAAGACTGATAGTATCGAAATTAAATCTCTCTTTTGGTAGTCGTTGCCCAATCGGGTAGAGCTGCTGGTGACGAGCAATAAGGTAGTGGCAATTTAGAAATCATTTTGTATTTAATCACACTTCTTGTCATCCATTCCTCAGCCGCCGAACACGCGAAATAGACCGTGAACATAAAGAGCTTAAATTAGTTCCTTGAACTTGATTATTTATAAAAGAGCGATATGCAGATGTGGCAAAGTCACTACTCAAATTTTGTACGAGGATCGGTTTTTACCCAGTTAAGATGTCACCCACTGGCGGAAGAGGTACGCCTAGGACCAGGCGATGCAACGTGATTTGAGACGGGGCGTAGAAAGGGGTGATTCCAACGGTGCGATATGGGACGAGGGACTGGATTGAACCGAACGACCACTCTAAAGGCTGATCAAAGGAAAGGATGTGGATGTTGAAGCAGAATCATTTGAGAAAAGTACGCCTGGGACCAGGCGATGCGACGTGGTTTGAGACGGGGCGTAGAAAGAGGTGATTTCCACGGTGCGATCTGGGATGAGGGACTGGATTGAACCGAACGACCACTCTGAAGGCTGATCAGAGGCAAGGATGTGGATGTTGAAGCAGAATCATTTTGAAAAAGCATCGGAGTGCACACAATGAACGGAAGAACATATATGGCCGGATTGTACTGTGTCGATCCTCAACAATCTCGAATTGGGCATCAGATCGGTCATGATCCCCACTGATTATGGATGTATCGTTGATGAGACTTTTGGATCATGACAAACATGCTTGTTGAAGGTCCATGAGTGATGTCTCAAAAGTTCAGATCAAAAGAGCCAGTGGAAGCCGGTCAAATTGACGTCGCAAAATGGATTTAGACGCCTTCGGCATTTGGGCACTATTTTGGGCTTTTGGGTACCAAAAATGGGTATTTGGTACCACATTTGGGATTTGGTCCTCTTTTGGCGTTTAGGTACGGTATCGGGAATATTGGCGCTATCATTGGAGTACAGGGCACGAAATTTCGACACGTGGCAAGGGGGCGATCCAGATTCAAGGCGATATCGGTTTGAAGAGTGACCTATAGTTAAGAATAGGCTTAAGGGTAGGTTGGATAGTAATTTGGTTGGTTAATAAACAGACTTGAACTCTACTTCTTCTGCTCACGACGCACGTTATCCCCCCCTCTTCTCCAGGCAAGATTGATTTGGCTTCCCCGGCGGGTTAAGGCACGCGTGTTACAGGGACACAGAAGACCGATCTTGGATTGTTGGCCAAGATCGAGAAGAGCGATCCCGGGATATCTGGCCCGGATCGATCAAGTACTCACACTCAACTCAACTGCTAGGGTAGCAGCACACAACGGAAAAGGAAAAGGATTTTGGACACAGGATCGCGAGACAGCTCAAGTGGTCAGAAGATCTGGACAAGGCGTTCAAGACAAGACCGAGCAGGATCGAAGCGATCCCCTGGACAGATCGGCACGTTTCATTTTGGCGAAACAAGACACCGATCTACCCAGATTGCGCACTTCCGGCAAGATCGGCCGATCCCAAGACCAGATCGGACCGATCCCAAGGCAAGATCGACGCAGGACTTTTATTTGCTGAGTGAAGATTTCCGCACAGCAAAGATCCCGATCTCGAAGACAAATCAAGATCGGTGCGATCCAAGATCGGGATCGCAGAACCCCCGTTCGTGGTGTGAAGATTTCCGCACCGGAAGCGAACCCTCAACCCAACCTCTCAGCGAGATCGACATCTCCCAAGGCCGTTACGAAGAGCTCAAGCCAGCCCAACCGACGGGTACACAAGGTGAGCACAAGGTCATACAACAAGGCACGGATCGGAGTACCCCCTCCGTGAGTCGGCAAGTCTGGGCAAGTGGAAGCTCGACACTCATACAAGCCATTTTTGTGAGATCGACTTCACCACAATGGTGCGCGTGCCCGGATCTTCTTAGGCCTCTGGATTTCACCGTGAGTCCACTGGCGAAGATGTCAAGATTAAGCAAGAACCTGGGATTGAAGTGTCAGCGACAGAGGGATCGACGCAGACACGCAGAAGCACAAGATCCTCAGATCATCAGAGTTTTGGGAGGGGCTCTGATGAAATGAAAATGAAAGAGGAAGATCGAGAGATCAATCTGGAAGATAAACCTCAACCCCCTCCTAGGGTCCTTTCGGGGGCCACCGCAGATCGCTCTTTCCAGAGCGATCTGCTGGATGAAAGTTCAATGATGAAAACCAAATCGGCGAAAGCCAAACCCTATATCTTAGTCGATAGATCGCCCGACCTCAAGCCGAAGAGCTCAATCGCGAAATCGACCACATCAGAACGATCCGCGACGAGATCGATGGGATCAGACGTCAAAGATCGCCAGATCGGCCGAACTGTGCAATCGAAGATCGGAGCCAAAGAGGAATACGATGAAACACCAGATAAGATCGCGATGCCAAAGACGGAATATAACCCAATGAAGATCGCGTCCAGGGAGAAGGAGACGACGGGTGAAGCGCGGGAGCGTGCAAAATGGCAGTACTATTATGGCCAGTTGAAGACGCTGCTCAAGACGGACCCAGTGTTCAAGATATTAAGGCCCAAGTTGATTGATCCTCTGGATAAGCCGATATCGGTCCCACTTCACGGGACCAACAAAGTCGACGAGATCAATGTGATTTTGCAGATGTTGGACGACATGGGTGTCTGCCCTGACGCTTTTGATGGAGATGAACTGCTGAGTTGCAGCTTGGAACAGTTGAAGGACGCGGCGAATGAGTTTGTAGAGATCATGATAATGCTGGTGGGCAAAGCGAATACTCCTGAAGACAAGATCGGGACGCCCTCGGGCTCGCTCTGTAAACACCCCGCGGGATCGCCCCGCTACGCCTCGGATGACTCCGAGAGCGAGTCAGATGGATCCATCAGCATTTGTCGGATGTCTCTAGGACCATCGGGTGGAAGGTTCTTAAAGGACAAGATCGGATAAGCCAATACCGACGCCTTTAAAGGACAAGCCAGGAGCGACATGCCACGGAGATCGGCCGGTACCCGTACTGGGCTGGATGATCAGGAAGAGGGCGATCTAAGTCGGTACTTCAATTTAGCCATGAAGGAGTACGAGGCGGATCAACGTACAGCTCAGCGAATGAATCGACAGCCAAACCGCTACCCAGATCGACGTACTTTGCTCCAACCCTCACACGAAAGCCATGACATGCCGGATGTGGAGATGGAATCGGTGGAGTCGGACACTTACCAACAGATCCATCATGGGGCGGAATACGACCCGGATGATTTATGAATGTCCGAACCACAGCGCCCTCACGTAGCCGCGACCGGTGCGACTACCGGAGGGGGGAAGCATCACGCAGAGGATCAGAATCTCAGCGATTTATGAGCTGAAAGAATTCTCAGGGAAGGATCGGGAAGAAGACAAAGCACGAACCTGGATCGGCAAACTGAAGTCAGCGTTTATCCGAGACCAAGCACCGGACGAAGAGAGATGTCTGGTCTTCGGTGATCTCATTGTGGGCCCAGCCCGCTACTGGTACCGACAGCTGAGTAGATCGACGAGATTCAATTGGAAAGAATTGATGAACAGTTTTCTTGTGGAATATGCGGGACACGGGATGTCCACAAGCCGACAATATTACCATGCAAAGAAACGATCGGAGGAAGATCCTTTGCAGTACCTGTATCGGCTTAATGTGATGGGAACGCAGGCGAAGATACCGGTGATGACTGGATTGCCAGCTGCGCGCAAGGAACATGTCAACCATTTCATTGACACCTTGGACGACCCCGATCTGTCCAATCAATTGCTACTGCTGAATGTAGGAGACGCGGAGGCCATGCAAAAGACACTGCACGGATATCAACAAGGGAGATCGCGTCAAGGGAAAGTGATGATGGGATCGTCCAAATTCAGGCAGAAGGGAACTCCGGGTCCAGCATTTTCTAAGCCTGCACAAGCGGTGAGGATGGTCCGTACCGAGGACGTCAGCAGCGAGTCAGGATCGGACACCTGCGGATCGTATTTGGAAGATCGATTGAAATCGATCCATGTGGCTGCTACTACGGATCGCCGTTCATCCCCCAATGACGTTGCAGCAAACGCGAGATCGGTCGACCCGAACACTCGTCAAGATTATCAAGATCGCAATATGCCATTGAAGCCGTGTGCTCATTGCGGATCGACCAAGCATGGAGATCTCGGTTGCTGGAAGCGGCTCACTTGCCAGAAGTGTGGTCGTAAAGGATACCCCTCTGAAAATTGGTTTTTCGTGAGTCGCGCCTGCGGTGAGATGCACGACCCGGGGAAGTGTCCTATGGAGGAGTTCTATAACATGATCCGCCAATGGTACGTCCCAACCAAGCATGCGGGGACACTGCCAGAGAAGGCAGAGAAGATGTTAAACTAGGACGCTCGCCAGGTTTGAATCTGGTACGAGCCGAGCGTTCTGGGCTCTGCATCATTGCATACGTGGAAAAAAGAATACAGATCGCAAGAGTAAGCAGGATACAGAGATGGATACAAATATATCTCGTTCGAAGTCAAAACGTGTCGTTTCCGTGTCCCATCTGAAGAGGATCGGTGAGTACTCGCGATCTGAACCAACTATGGAGATCGAGCTCGCTTACGGTGATTCTCGCGGATACTGGAAACATTACTCGCCCGGGAAGTGGTTCAAACAAGCGAAAGCTGTTGGCAAGATCAACAACGAAAAGGCCACTCTGCTATTTGATTCTGGTGCTGAAGTGTCGATCATTGACACCACCTTTGCTCGTGAGGTCGGTTGCAATATTGACGAAAGTCAACGACAAGAATGTATCGGGATCGGAGAAACCCCGTACATGACGATAGGACTTACCAAGATCAAAGTAACCCTCGCGGGATCGCTGGTATACTATTTCAATGTATGGGTAGGCGATCTGGCAGGGCAAGAAGTGATTCTGGGCATGGACTTTATGGTGCCTGCCGGAGTGCGGCTCGATCTAGCTGATGGCGCGCTATGTCTACCAGAAGAAATCCGTATCCATCTCGCAGGACGTCGCCCCGCGTACGGATCGAAGATACAACATATAACGGCGTAAGACCAACATGTGTTTATCCCAGTCGGAGAGTCAAGAGAAGTGAAGATCGGGATCGGAGGGGCTAAGATGAAGTTGTGGGTCACTAGAGGGCCAGATTGGGTCCCCTCTGTGATCTCGGGGTTGGGTAAGACGAAATACCTGCAGATGACCAACATTGGCGACCGTGAGATCATACTGCCCACCCACACGATATTAGGCTTGTGGACCGAAGGCGATATGGTACCACGAACTCAAGGTTTTGTGAAGGTCGGATCGGGGAAGTACAAGTAGTGGCAAACTCTGACGTATGAGGCTACGACGGATCGAGTGAATGAACTCCCAAATGAGCAGATCGGACCATTGGTAGATCGCCCTACGTACGCCACTCCCAAATGCATCATGAAGCGTCCGTCTGATGCGCTAAAGGACATACCTCCAGCGATCTCCATGGTAACGCAGCAAGCTGGTGACGACGACTTGCAAAATGCAGATACAGTGGTTGCAAGGGAATGAACGGTCAACGGAGTTGGATCGAATCCACTCGATGAGACAAATCTATCGTCAAAGGATAACGATCGTGAGATCGAAACCGAGATCGCGATGAGAAGAGATCACGGGACCGAACGAGAAGAACAAGACAACAGACTGTCTTCATTGAACGTCAATCTTGCAGACAACAGAGCAGGACTGGATCGGTCCGAGGCGACGCAAAGATCTGAAGAGGACAAGCCGTCTAAGATCGACGAAGCTGACTCCGCAGAAGCACCAGTCTACTATCACGAGAGTGGAGATTTGTTTGCCGAAGACATCGAGCAACACCTGGCGGTGTTACCAGAGATGTTCACTGCTACGGAAGAAGTGACAATTAACGACATTCAGATCGGCGATCCGGACGTTCCTCTCACCGCAGATCAACAAAGACTCAGATCGCTGATTTGGAAGACCCGTCACCTTTTTATGGGGAAAGGCAATGCTCTACCACCAGCGGCACGAGGAGCGATTTGTGATATCGATGTCGGTGGAGCCGCACCAATTGCGCAAAGAGTGCGTCCGGTCGCACCCAAATATCGGGAGAAGCTGTCAGATCTCATCAAAGGACTGTTAGCAGCCAAAATCGTTCAGCCATCCACGTCACCTTGGGCGTCTCCGATAGTGGTGATCATCAAGAAGAACGGAGTGGATATTCGCCTTTGAATTGATTATCGAAGAGTGAACCAGCTGACGCGCCTGATGGTTTATCCCATGCCGTTGATCAGCGATCTGCTAAAAGATCTGGATAAAGCTCTATGGTACTGTTCGCTAGACATGGCAAGTGGATTCTGGGTCGTCGAAATGACTGAACGAGCAAAACTGATCTCAGCGTTTGTCACACCGTTTGGCTTGTTCGAGTGGCTACGAATGCCTTTTGGGCTTAAGAACGCGCCCCAGATCTACCAACGTCTGGTTGACAATGCGTTGTATGGATATCTCAAGATCGGCCAGAGATCAGCCTCTGATGGCCCGATCGACGTGTTCAAAGATGGAGAACCTGAGACAGATCGACGACCGTCTATACTGGGACGCCGATCTTACATTGACGATATTCTCATACCAGCCACGTCATGGGAATCTTTGTACACAAAAGTAGAACGGTTGCTGGAGGCATGTGATAAGTGGAATCTGTCTATCAGCCTCACGAAGAGCTTTTGGGGGTGCCGCAAGGTCGATTATTTGGGACATCGAGTGTCGATGGATGGTCTGGAGGCTCAGCCCAAGAATTTGGAGTCGTTGGTCAACATCCCGTTCCCTAGCACGCTGCGAGCTATGCAATCTTTTCTCGGGAGCTTGAACTACTACCGCCGTTTCATTCAGGACTTCGCGGTGTACGCCGCGGTGTTGTATGAGTTAAGAGAATCGGATTTCTTCGAGATCGGCCGATCTCAGCTTGCAGCAGGAGACGAATGGTCGAACGAGGGTCGATGGACAGAAGCCATGGTTGCTTTCACTATGCTAAAGGCTAAGATAGCTACAGCTCCCATGCTCAAACATTTCGACCCAGATCGCCCTCCCGTGATCGTGGTCTACGCTAGCAAGTAGACTGTTTCAGCGGCCCTGATACAGGAGTACGGCGGCGTGTACCATCCGGTGACGTTTACTAGCCACACTCTAAAGCCCAATGAGCTTAACTACGGAAAGGTGGAAAAGGAAGTGCTGGCGTTACTTCGTGTTTTGGATGTATGCCATACTACGCTTGCCTCGCGGGAGATCACTGTGCTGACCCGACATTCTACGTTAGCGTGGTTGATGCAATCTCGAGGGCTCAACGGGAGATTAGGACGGTGGGCTGCTTTGCTGTCGAACTGGACTATAGAGGTGAAGAGGTGCGAAAAAGGAGAAGAAGAGATTTTGGGCATGCTAGCAGCAAGTATCACCCCGACAGAAGAGGTGGAAGAGATGCTGATTGCGATATCCCCACGAAAGGACTGTCGACTCAAAATATCGATGCCTCCTCCAACGGTGGAAACAGATGAGGAGTTGCTGGTGGCCAGTTTCGATGGATCGGCTAGGATAAAAAAGAAAGGAGGGTCGTTCAGTGCCGTGATATGGAAGTTACCCGGATGGACGATCGTGGCGACAGAATACAGATACGCTCTCGACCTCACCGTGAATGAAGCTGAGTATCATGGCTTGCTACTGTGCTTTGAGATACTCGCCGATCTGGATAGGGGGCGAGTAATACTGTGTGGAGATTCCAGTCCGGTGATTCGACAGATGCGCGGTGAGATCGACTGCAAGGCACCGGGCCTGCAACTCTTGAAACATAAAGCGTTAGAGAAGCTGCAGTCATGGCCTAGTCACGAGTTTCTGCATATGAAGCGAGAGTGGAATCAGAGCGCAGATCGACTAGCCAGCACAGCATTGCAGAGCGAAAAGGGAAGAACCGTTGTATCTGAAGAAGATCGGCAAGATCTGATGACTCTGAACCGTCTCGATGAATTGTTGAAGCCCAAGCAAGATGGTCAGCTGGCTCGGATAACTGCGATCACGAGATCAGCCGGAAGGATACGTCATGAACCTGAAGTGATACAGGAGGAGATCGAACAGAGGACTAGGATTCAACGAATTGTCCAAGCTCAAGATGAAGAGCGTTGGATTGTCAATCTCAAGACATATCTAAGTGGCGATGTATTAAACTTGGATGCAGTAGAAGTGAAGATGTGCGCCAAACTGGCGCCGGAATACGAGATCGATGAGAACGATCTGCTATCTTTCTGCCCCATGGCGAAAAGAGAGTTGGAAGATCGCGATGGTTTGATGCGGTTGGTGATCCCTGAGACGTTGCAGCAGGATTTTTTGCATCACTATCACACGAGTCTGGAAGGAGGCCATCAGGGTATCGGCAGAACCTATCAGAGGATCAGATCGCGATTTCATTGGAGAGGACTGTATCGGAGCGTTCAACGATATGTGGGCGAATGTACCGACTGTGAGACCGGGAAAGGAAACCCGATGATTCATGGGAAATCACCGGGCAATCTACACGCAACCCATCCATTCCAGATCATCGCCATGGATCATATACCGTCGTTGCCCAAGTCCATCAAGGGGAACACCGAACTGCTCATTTGGGTCGACCTTTTCTCGGGATATGTGATTGCAAAGGCTAGCTCCTCTCGGACGGCACAAACAAAAGCGGAGAATTACGAAGAATGTGTGTTTCGACGCTTCGGAGCTAGCGAGGCTATCAGGCACGATAGAGAACCGGGATTTATGTCCGACTTCTTTCGAGCCTTCAGTCGGATCGTAGGACAAAAACAGCGTGCTACTATGGCTTACAGGCCACAAGCAAATGGAAATGCCGAACGAATGGTGCAAACCCTGACACATTCGCTCAAGATGTACGTGGATGAAGTTGACCAGCGAGACTGGGATGAGTATGCTGAGCGTCTCACATTTGCCATTAACACTGCACAAGATCGGATCCGGGGGGATACCCCGTTTTATCTGATTCATGGGTGGGACCCGCGATCGACTTTGGAGGCTACACTACCAGTGGGGAATACGGGGACACGAGATCGCGATCCAAAGAGGTGGAGATACAAAATCCAAAGACAATACCAGCGAGCCCGATCTGCAGTGAACGATCATTTACAAGCCGCAATCCAGGAGCGAGCGGATCGACACAACGAAGATCTGGAACCACACGAGATCGAAGTAGGTATACAAGTTTGGCTATACCTGGATCGAGTCAAAGAGGGATATGCGAAGAAGCTAGCGCATATGTGGCATGGGCCATTCCGAGTTGCGGACGTATGTGGAGATCATGCTGTGAAATTGGAGATCGCTGGAACCCCATATCGGTTATTTCCGATTGTACATATATCGAAGCTAAAAAAGGTAAAGACGTTCCCTGAACGCCCGAAGGATCAGTTACGATAGAGGAATCAGATCGCTTGGATTTCGATGAAGCTCTGCTGCCAGAAGACAGTTGGGATGGCGATCTTGAAGAAGGGGAATACGAAGTAGAGGCAATATTGGACGTGCGATCTGGTAGAAAAACCCGTTATGGGCGAGTACACCGGCAGTTTCTGGTGAAGTGGAAGGGATATCCCGATCTAAGTTGGGTGGACGAGGCCGATCTAAGTTGTGGGGCGATCTTGCAAGAGTTTGAGCGTAACCGAGTGAGTTAAAACCGTTTCGACGTAATGCAGTCTCATGAAGGCAAGTCGGACGAACCTTAACAGTTCGAACAAGTATGCGGGAGGTAGCATATGCGGATGTAGGGGTTGAAAGATGTGCTAGACGGTAGCACATGCTGGTGGATGAGGTTTTTGTATGTGAGTATGGAGATAGCCAAGTGAATTACCTTCCTGAATGATGTGGAGCGATGAGGATCGAGATCGTGGAAGCTGCAAAGAATTGAAGTACCAAAAAGAAGACGATTGAATGACTTACACGATCATGAAAGACGATCGGGCTTGGATATCGACCTTGGACTAAGACGATGGAGCAGGTTTGAACTTGTCCTGCAGACGAGGGATCTGCGATCCCGGATGATCTAGATGGCGCGGAGACCCAGGCCGATCGGGGACCGCTGGGGTGTGTCCTCCGAGATCGGGCGATCCGGGCGACAGGTCGCTATCCGGAGACAGAAACATGGTGGATCCTTCTGAAGAGATCGGCGAGGTGGGTGGATGCGTCGGAGAGACCATGAGACGGACTTGAGTGCTTGGAACGAAGTTGATGAGTGACTGTACTGAGGTCGATTGCTGTACGAAAGACTTCAGTACAGGGGGCGGTTGTGGCAAAGTCACTACTCAAATTTTGTACGAGGATCGGTTTTTACCCAGTTAAGATGTCACCCACTGGCGGAAGAGGTACGCCTAGGACCAGGCGATGCAACGTGATTTGAGACGGGGCGTAGAAAGGGGTGATTCCAACGGTGCGATATGGGACGAGGGACTGGATTGAACCGAACGACCACTCTAAAGGCTGATCAAAGGAAAGGATGTGGATGTTGAAGCAGAATCATTTGAGAAAAGTACGCCTGGGACCAGGCGATGCGACGTGGTTTGAGACGGGGCGTAGAAGGGGTGATTTCCACGGTGCGATCTGGGATGAGGACTGGATTGAACCGAACGACCACTCTGAAGGCTGATCAGAGGCAAGGATGTGGATGTTGAAGCAGAATCATTTTGAAAAAGCATCGGAGTGCACACAATGAACGGAAGAACATATATGGCCGGATTGTACTGTGTCGATCCTCAACAATCTCGAATTGGGCATCAGATCGGTCATGATCCCCACTGATTATGGATGTATCGTTGATGAGACTTTTGGATCATGACAAACATGCTTGTTGAAGGTCCATGAGTGATGTCTCAAAAGTTCAGATCAAAAGAGCCAGTGGAAGCCGGTCAAATTGACGTCGCAAAATGGATTTAGACGCCTTCGGCATTTGGGCACTATTTTGGGCTTTTGGGTACCCAAAATGGGTATTTGGTACATCTGGGATTTGGTCCTCTTTTGGCGTTCAGGTACGGTATCGGGAATATTGGCGCTATCATTGGAGTACAGGGCACGAAATTTCGACACGTGGCAAGGGGGCGATCCAGATTCAAGGCGATATCGGTTTGAAGAGTGACCTATAGTTAAGAATAGGCTTAAGGGTAGGTTGGATAGTAATTTGGTTGGTTAATAAACAGACTTGAACTCTACTTCTTCTGCTCACGACGCACGTTATCCCCCCCTCTTCTCCAGGCAAGATTGATTTGGCTTCCCCGGAGGGTTAAGGCACGCGTGTTACAGGGACACAGAAGACCGATCTTGGATTGTTGGCCAAGATCGAGAAGAGCGATCCCGGGATATCTGGCCCGGATCGATCAAGTACTCACACTCAACTCAACTGCTAGGGTAGCAGCACACAACGGAAAAGGAAAAGGATTTTGGACACAGGATCGCGAGACAGCTCAAGTGGTCAGAAGATCTGGACAAGGCGTTCAAGACAAGACCGAGCAGGATCGAAGCGATCCCCTGGACAGATCGGCACGTTTCATTTTGGCGAAACAAGACACCGATCTACCCAGATTGCGCACTTCCGGCAAGATCGGCCGATCCCAAGACCAGATCGGACCGATCCCAAGGCAAGATCGACGCAGGACTTTTATTTGCTGAGTGAAGATTTCCGCACAGCAAAGATCCCGATCTCGAAGACAAATCAAGATTGGTGCGATCCAAGATCGGGATCGCAGAACCCCCGTTCGTGGTGTGAAGATTTCCGCACCGGAAGCGAACCCTCAACCCAACCTCTCAGCGAGATCGACATCTCCCAAGGCCGTTACGAAGAGCTCAAGCCAGCCCAACCGACGGGTACACAAGGTGAGCACAAGGTCATACAACAAGGCACGGATCGGAGTACCCCCTCCGTGAGTCGGCAAGTCTGGGCAAGTGGAAGCTCGACACTCACTAAAGTAATTTTGTGAGATCGACTTCACCACACAGAGCTTTCTACAAATCTGTACGATTAATCATAAAAATAATATAACGGGGTCCTTTTTATTTGTGAAAATAATGATACTCAACATTTTAACCCATAAAAGTGAAATTAGATTTCAGAAAGTAAAAAAAGATTCAAAAGAATTTTACAGAAACTACGACACTATGAATGCATTCATTTCACGAATAATCATATCCTCGAAAGTCATAGCTCATACCAATTGCATCACCCAGGCTCGTTATATGGCCACTTACTTACAATTCATATCTATTGGACATCATGAGTCCGTGTGACAAAAATTGGGCATATCTCATTATCATAACACAATATTACAATACCCCCCCCCCGAAACAAGCACTCAAATTTAATCAAGTCTAAATTGACGGACATTTCATATTCACCGCTTTATGCTCAACGGCAACATGGGAAAAACAAAATGCGTGATTGATAGCGAGTCTTTCCATTAAATTGAAATTGGTCATGCGAATAGTTACGCACAATCAATTAAGTTCATTCTGTGTTTGGTGACGATTAAGATGTCCTAACGAATGCGTACTTTTCTCGTAAATATGGGACTTTTGCTATTAGAGCATAAGCGAGCGGAAATCAAAAGTATAGCAACCAGCAGACTGTCTGAAAACACTTTCTAGATTTAAGCGTTCGATGATAAGCTAAGTGTGTATGCTGGTGCACATGTAACGCATATTAAGATGCCGAGAGACCACATACCGGGCTCGCACTTTGGAGGTATGCAGGAGAACTCAGTGTGGGAGCTGAAGGAGCTAAAACTTGCTTTGTGTGTTGAACAGGTTGGCACGAATACGGTTCACCAGACAGGTCTCATAGTTTGTTGGTGAGAGGACCGCAGCACAAATGATGGAGACGACTGCCACAGCCAATTTTGCAGAAACAAACACGACGCGAGACGTGCATAAGGAGAGGGAGATTTTGGTGCTGGTGCGTCTGAAGAATCGATGAGCAGCAGTACTTTCCATGATGCAGCTTCGCTGTCCAGTAGCATGTATATTGCATGTTAACAGTACGCTTGCATTGGAGAAGTGCATGATATCTAAAAATGATCATTGTGGATATCATGCAATTTTAACAAGCTTTGTAAATATTCGTTTGTGTTCAATACATCTGAAGATATCCTGTTGACTTAACAATCGCGCTACATACCTATATGTTCGTCAGGCAGCATAATCGGCACTGAGCACAGCAAGATCAGATCTGCTGCTATCCTAGCGTATATGAACTGTTATGGGTGCGCACTATTCATTTTTTCGTTACGTCGCATGCACGTCAGTCATACTTCTCGAAACCGAACATTTACACACGGAAGAATCACGCAATCTTAACACGTCTAAATTGACGTCAACAGCAAGAACTGACCTGGTGCTACTGCTACTCGTGACCGAGATTGTGTCCTTACGAGTCCTCATGACTATGAGATTGTCGAGTTCGTGAGACCGGGACCCCGCTCGCACGCAATGTATTCACTGCGAGTGGATGAAGAACACATCTGCTTGTGGTCGCAAATTTGAGAAGTAAGCAAACCGCTTAAAAAATTAAGCGTTTTGTGACTACTCGTGTGATAGTTTTTCTAAAATAGAAAGACTCACTAGCCATCAAGCAGTTTCTTTCCCCATTTGGCTGTTAAGCATAGTGTGATTAACACTATATTAGTTTGTACACGCAATACAAGTATAAAGTGGTAAAATCTAGACTTGATTACCGTGCAGTAGTGGCTTTCGACTTTGGGACATTTGTGGTGCTGATAATGAAATTTGCTCACAAAAGCTCATACGACTACACTCCTGAGCCAAAAAAATCACACAATTCATTTACAAAGACACACTATTCAAGGGAATTTCTAGAACTCAATTCATGAGGAAGAGACAGAGTATGTACAATTAGATGCAACGAGAGTGTAATAATTTCGTTATCTTCTTTTAGCTTCCAGCAAATCTCACCTGCAGAAGAAATCACTTAATGAACTCTCATCTCTGCTCGACGCAAACATGACGTCATTATGATGCTCGTACCACCTTACTAGAAAATCCACTTGATGCGTGCCATTTAACACTTCTCCTCGTCGACACTGTCCTCAACAAAAAACACCTCAACCTTGCTTTGTCACAATCGACGCTAATCGATAGATTACAAACCGATTACTTCGCGTAATCCAATCAGTCTTGGCACAGCCAATGCATTCGTTTGTACGTCCGCAGGGGTACTCGAAGTTTCTCGATACTCGGGTTTTTACTTTAACTCATTGTGATTTCACTTTAAAAACTTGATTCTCACATTCCAATGCTTGGCCTTGGCCGATCCCCTAAAGCCTTCGAGTTGATTCAAAGCTGCTTAGTTATTCACTCACAATGGCGTTGGATTCACAAACTGTTACTTTCAGCTCTTGCAAAGTATAAGAACACTCAACAAT